GGGGGGGGGGGGGGGGGGGGTATGGATATTTTCTGGAACTACACATTGTTACAAACAACTACTTTGTACGCGTAGCACGTTCTCAAATGTAAAGTTCTTATCTTTTAACCAACGAGTAATGATCCACCAACCCCAATTTGGTAGCGTTTCTTACAAGAGTTAGACGTTGATATAACTACAGGAAAAGTTAAAAATATCCGAACGCGGGAAAATTTGGGGGCGGATGTCTCTAAAGGTAAGTTGAACATAAGCCTACTAAGCTTAACTTTTACAGCACTCTTCCAGATACATTGATAAAAACATTTCAGTTAAAATTTTAATCGTAATTTGTCAGGTACATTTCTCTAACTTTGCATGCGTGTTGAACTTCTTCTTAATTTCTCAGTATATTTAAGTTGTCTTCAACGACCTCAGTATATTTTCGTGTCGGCCCCTCGGTATGTCTTTTTGCACAGAGGTTTGACTTTAAATATACGAAAAACCAGACAAATGACACGGGTTAGTGAATGTACATACCTGAGAACAGAAGAAGCTTCCATGAATTCCAAGTTTAATACAAGTAGGACATTGCAGCTTTGCTGGCTGTCCACAGCCAACACTTTCACAATTCCTTGTCGCTACTGCTGCCATGATCTTTACAAGATGGCACTGGGCACGAGACTGGGCACGAGATTAGGAGAGGAAAGGGAGAACCTTCTTTGTGTAACTAGCACTAGACTGTCGCTTACTCTAATAACAAGGTAAGATGGCGGCTTACCAGTCTCACAAAGCAAGTCATGTGCCTCGTCCACCTGCGGTGCTGTTCTATCACAAATCGATGAGTAACTTGGCAAAAACTATCTGTGAACGGTGCAGCCATGCGTTGATGTCGCCCATCACGACCCAAGTAAACACCTCTCCTTTAGTTTTACTTTAGGATTTATTGCAGATTGTGTTTTCGGTTCTATACCACGTCATCTGTATTCAGGTGATCTTTCTGTGCATACATTTCCTGAAGTGGCTTTGCGATAATCTTGCTTCATATTCTACATGAATTGAAGCATATTAGAGACCGTTCATTAATTAAACACAGGGGTGGGCTGGAGGAAAACTAAGCAATATTCAAGACATTTTTCCTGCTCCTCCCCCCCTATGGACTGTAATTTTTTTCAAGGCCCCCCCATTTTCTTTACACATATTTCCGAACCCCCCCTCCCCTACCTTCACCTCTCCAACAACCTTATTAACGACTCATTAACCAGGAAAAAAAACGAATGTATCTTTTTAATATTAGTGGAGAACAATAGTTGAAACCCTACTAGCCACTCTACCAGACCGTGTTGTGACTGTTTCAGGGATCATTATAAAGTCGTCCTCCTCTTCATCTCCTTCGCTCTACCGTCCAACAGGACCTCATCTTCAGAACTGCAAACATCTCCTTTGTCACTATCACTGTCTTTGCTTGTGTTATTAACATGATTATTACCAGTCACATTCTTGCCATATTTTGTACTGGAGTCTAATATTGCAGAGGATGTTACCATGCTCACTTGGTCAACAACTCCGCTTAGCAGCAAATAACTTACGATCCTCTGTACCCAATCATCTTTCCTTCCATTACAGGAATTAAGTTTGTAGTGCTTTAGATAGTGCTGCAGCTCTGGTTTTGTCAGGGAGTGTAGTTTACTACTTTCTTGCAGTTTATTCCAGTCATAATCGATGAAAGATTCCCGCTTTGTTGCATTTCTTTTTTTTTTGTTTCTCTCTTACTCTAATCAGTGCACATGTTTTCTGCCCTTCCATGTGTTAAACATAGGCTGTAACATGTTCCTCTTCAACAGCACACTGTATTGAAAACTCCTCTATTCAGTCAAGAGATCTTTCATGAAAATATAGAGGCTTGTATTTCCAATTTGCAAAATCATCTGAGCAGTTACCATTGTTACATTGACAGATCACTATCTTGTGCCACCTGTCATATAAATTCTAATTTCATAGTTTACATTTTTAAGGAGGTAAGTTCATCTGAGTGCAAGATATCCAATAATGTTATTTTTTTTTTTATAAGGATTATTCGATGAAATAAAAGATTTAAAATCAAGTTTATGTTTTTTCAAAGCTCCCCCTTATCAGGCAAAACAATTTTGGGAGACCCCCTCCTTGTTTAAAATTTTTCTTGATGCCCCCCCCCCCTAATTTTCCTCCAGACCTCCCTGACCCACAATTAATGAACAGTCCCTTAATGATGATGTCATTGGATGGCATTCTATTTAATTAGTAGTGCTTGATTTAAATAAATCCTGATTGTTCCTTTGAAATGGCAGACTATCAACCAAACATGAATTTGGTTGCTCTGATGACTGGCCTGGGTGACCTATACCTGCCAATTTTTTCTGAGTTATAGGCGTGAGATTTTTATCCTGGGAGTGCCGCATTTTTCGAAGATGGCACAAACATGTCTGAAGATTCTCAAAGATGTCCGAAAACTTCCGAAGACGTCCGAAGTCTTCCGAAGATAGCAGAAGTGGGAACAGCCCTGCTATTTCCCAGTCCCAGTCTCAGGACGTGTATCGCTAAATGTGACCTCGCTCCCAGTGCTTTCTATTTGAAGAAGGAAGTATCTTCATTTACACATAGGTTTCATTTCTTACATTGGTTTGAGTTTACATACTTTTGGAAATTGTGTCAAGCAAAGCTGCAACCACTCACATTTTTCAATCAGGTGTGAGAATTTGACCTGTAAGCTTGAGCCGGCATGAGATCGAAGTTTTAAATCTGTAGGCATGAGACTCATGCCTAAGGTGTGAGAGTTGGCAGGTATAGTGACTGCTAATGTTGAGCACTGTATTAAGGGCTATTTCATTTGGACATCTCTCTTAAATATAAGAGTCTAGAGCCTGGTGACAAGGCTCATTTACACCAGTAAATTTCCCATCAATTAAGCTGCTATCATGTGAAGAGTTTCATTTGCTCCAGATCTAGAAGGTAAGTGATAATAAATGCATTTGATTTGGAGTACTGGTCAGTTTTGTCAAGTCCAATATACCTATAATGTAATACAATCTTGGGTGTATTTGTTGAATATCTTGAAGTATTCATAGTCGACTCATTAAGAAGCAATCTAGATATGTATGATAATTAGCACATCATTCACTTCTAACTCTTGTTATCCTTACTTTGATCCTTTAGAAAGAACTTCAAAATTTCCAGCAAAGTGTGGAGCTGAGGTCTGTAACATGGGAGCAGTTTCCAGATGGATGGCCGAACTTGTTCATTGAAAATGTGAAACACGATTGTGCAGGAAGAGATGGTATGTACAGCCTGCTACTTTAAACATGGATTTTCCTCTTATTTTTAATTATGTATCTAGTATTTTTGGCCATGTCACTAACAAATGTTGTGAAACCATCATTATCTCACCATCAAACAACAAACATTGCATAGCCTACTGTTGCATCGCTAAGAGACCTTGTGAAACCTATAATATCAATCACAAATGTTGCAAGCATGTAACATCTAGTGTCTTTTCTCTTTTTTTCTGCAGTCATATTTTTGGGAAGCTTCCATTCACCAGAAGTTGTGTTTGAGCAGCTTTCTGTCATTTATAAAATTCCCAGGTAAGGTTTAGCACAAGCAAGAACTAACTTGAACTCAAAGTGACACAAATTATGGACAAAATTTGTATATGAGTAGAATTAGATGTGTTTATTTTTAAGTTGAATGCTATTTCTTCCAGGTTATTAGCAAGATCATTCACTGCTATTGTGCCATACTTTCCAACTGGAACAATGGAAAGAGAAGAAACAGAGGGACAGGTTGCTACAGCAAAGGTTCATCTAACATTCTGCTGCTTTAGTTTTGTTTTAATTATACTATTGTAGTAGGTCCACATCAGCCCTCATCAGCCCTTTGGCTGCCTTAATTCAAACCTGCTTCATCAAATAAAGTATGTACGTTTGTGTGTAACAGCTTATCATACTGAAAACCAACACCATGTAACATTATAACACCTAATGGGCCGAATATTTAAACAAAGTTTAGGTGTCGTTTAAGAAGGTCTTGGTTTAAACGAGGTCTCAACCAGGAAACTGGGTTATTTAAACATCACTTATCTTAAATCCCGCCTAAACGGAGTCTAAACACAGCCTCGCAAACAATAGCAACTTAGACCTGGTCACGAGTAGGTTTAGATGTAGTCTAACGTTTTATTAGTGAAGGTTTTTGTCATGGATGGAAGTTTGAGATATAGACGCCTACAGCAATGGGCTAATACTCAATGTGTTCGAAGAATCCAACACTTGCGGGATAGGCTTAATCCTTTAGAAGAATAGAATATTTTCCAGTGGATTCACTGACGCTGGAATAACGTCAGCAACCAGCTTACTAATAGCATTTGGTGAAACCGGGGCTTTACCACCACCTGTCTTCTTGCTTTCCCTCCGTTGCTCATCAAATTCCTTTTTCGTTTCCAGTTTCTTGCACTTCCAACATCCCCGAATTGCTTTCATATCGTGCTTGTTACCATCGGGATTTCCGGCGGTGAAACTTTGCACAACTTTTTGCGACGATGACTGTTTCGTTTTTAAGCTGACATTGTCATATCCTTTGTTTTCTATATCGCAATATTGCTTCCCGGGCTTGGCAAGTAGAAGTTTTTCTTCTCGGCTAAAATTTGCATTTTGAGATTTTGAAGCCATTTTTTCATCTGGCCTCTTCAAGATTCTGAACATGCGGTTTTTGGAAAACAATAGAAATTTTAGTTAAACCACACTTAGAAGTGGTCTCCGTGGAATGCGGCTCGACTGCATTTGAATAATGCGATTTAGACCACACCTAGCCATGGTCTTTGCGGGCCTTGTCTAAACCTCGATTTAGTCAAAAACCAGGTCTAACCTAAACTTCGTTTAAATATTTGGCCCAATGTGTTTTTTTATAACAGATATAAAATGTTGTCATTCTCTATCCCAGTTTTATTTGAGATATTTCTTATTCTTTCAGACACTAGCTATTTTGTTGTCTACCATTCCTCTGACAGCAAGAGGCCCTTCTCAGATTATGGTGTTTGATATTCATGCGCTACAGGAGAGGTTTTATTTTACTGATAATGTAATCCCCAGGTAATGAGAAAGTACAATTTATACAGTCAGTAGAACATTGGAAGTCTTTCACTTATAATAATTGACGTTAAAAAATCTGACAAAATTTTTGACTTTTTAATAACTTAATTAAATAAGATAGAAAAATTCATTAAAAGACTTAATCTTAGAGGACCTGAAGAGGATTATTTATGGATAAGGATCATCTTTCTATCTCTTAGACGTAGAAAATAATAACCTTAAATGGGATTATTTGCATACCAAAATATTTTGTGAATCAAGAGGAAGTCACATCATTATATGATTATTCTTCTTGCTAGAACAGAAAGTTCAGACTGCATTCTGCTTATTCTGGAATCAGTAAGGCAAATCAATTGAACTGAGTCTGGGATAAGCTTAAGGTCAAAATGATATTGAATGAAGCCATTATAGCATCTTAGATATAAATTCTGTAGCGTTTGAATGACTGCTGTAGCTGTGCACATGTTTTGTGTTTTGTCACAGTTTTGCTCTAGTATAATAAACAACTTAAAGAATTTTCTCTTTTGATTTTAGATTAGAAACAGCAATACCATTGCTTCTCCGTGAAATCTCGACACTATGCAAAGACAATGCTATAAGTATTGCATTTCCTGATGAAGGTGCATTCAAGAGATTTCACACCATGTTTACATCCTTTCCAACCATCACCTGCACTAAAATCAGAGATGGAAACAAGAGGATTGTAAGAGTCAAAGATGGTAATTTTATGATGCTCCTTTTTAACTTTCTGTTTCCTACCTAACTCCTTTAACCAGAATGGCATTTAAGGCGTGATCCACATTCACTCTCCATAGACTCTGGTCTTGTGCTGGAGAACCAACTTCACTTCAGGACTTCTGCCAAGCTCTGGACCTCTTCCTATCCACTGTATGTGTCCACATTGTTTTTGGCTGACCCCTCTCCCTTTCCCTTGGGGCCCTTTTTATCTTTCAATAACCAAAATTTCATTTTGCCTAGTGCAACAGCAAACCAAAGCAGTGTTCCTCTGTGTGGGGTGTACAGCAAAATTTGAATGTAATTTGAGGCCAATCAAAATTGTGTTCCAATGGCTAACATTCATGCTGCTACTATAACATCATTATTGGTGAGATCACAAACAAACTCACATTTGTATGGTATATAATCATGATCTGATTGGTTGAAAACTCTAAGGTGGCCCTAGATGAATTTGTTGCATGAGACTGTAAAAGAAAATAGAATACTCAAGTTAGATAAAAACAGAAGATAAATTGTTGATATCCACAATTCCAGTAGAAGCATGATTATTTTCTTTTTTAAACTCTTCACTCTATTTCAATTTTGCAGGTGATCCAGCCGGACATCACGTGATCATTGTTGATGACCTTGTAATGACAGGAGGGACTTTGGTGCAGTGTGCAAAAGTAGGGATCTGGCTCCTAGAACTTACAGTTAATGAAGTATCACTTAAATATTGGTCACGAGTTTGACATTACACTCAGTTGGCTGACTAAAAGAAATTCATGCTCTAGGGCCAGGTGTTTGAAAGCTGATTAATGCTAATTTGGGATTTAAATTTAATTAAGGTATTCATTTCCCTGGTATAAATTAACGGGTTTCATCAGGAGCCATAATTATGGCTCCTGGTTTCACTGCAATTGTTTTGTGTAGTTAAGTCAAAACGGTAGGGCAGGCCATTGATATAAAACGAAACCCTTACTAAAAAATGACAAAAGTGACATCAAAATTCAAGCTAATGCAAGACTGGCGTGATCATGCTTCACCCTTCATTGATTTCATTAGCTGTACATAACATATTGTATGAGCTTTATAGATTTCTAGTAAACGGTAAAGTACTTTTTAAAATGGTGTATCTTATTGTTAACTGTGAGAGTGAGACACAAAACCATTTCTTTTAACCAGGCGCTGTTATCATCTGGAGCAATCAAGATTAGTGCATACGTCACACATGCTGTTTTTCCCAAGGAATCATGGAAACTTTTTACTGACTGTGAAGTTCAATTTGACAAGTTTTACATAACGGACTCCATTCCTCATGCCACTGCTATTGCTCAACATTCTCCTTTTAAGTTGCTTTCTCTCTGTGACTCAATATCTGAAGCATTGTTAGGCTTTGACCTGCTGCAGAGCTGATTTCGAATCAGTTGCGTTTCTTTGTTTTTGAGGGAATAGAAACACATTATGTAGTGAAGGATTGGTTTGGTGAGAATGCTTTGTGGCAGAATGCACTGTTGAGTGGACATTCGACCTTAGAAGGCACTATGGATTATATTTTTGCAGAGCTTTTTTATATAGTGTAGAAACTATAGAAAGTTAAAGATATAGATATGTATATAAGGTAGAAATTATAGCTAGCAGTAGATTACAACATTACTCAAAGACACTCTTTACCAACAATAGTATACGCCATTTGCATCATTACTTTCGTTACATCATCTTACGGAACCGTACACTGCTAACAAGTCTAGAAGAGACTGAATTGAGCCATAGTTGCTAAGCAACTGTTTGCGCCATGGTATCCAGTACTCGTCCTGTTTTTTTTGTGTGTGTGTGGGAGGATGAAAACCAGACTTCCAAATACGGAAATGAAACAAAATCACACAAAACATGTTCATTTCTCGTTCTTCAATCCATTGAAGGTGAAAGTGAAGTCGAAATAGAAAGTTTATGATGAGTTCCGGGATGCGAACTCAATTAGGTGCGAATCAGGTAGCATTCGTAAATTTAGTAGTATAGATGTAGACCTTGTTTTTTTGTGGGTTTTTCGGTTAACAGGGCACCTAAGCTCAAGTTTGCTTGCGCATTAAGCAGAACATTGAAAATCTCCTTTCTGCGTTGATATTACTTGTGCCCAAGGTATTCACAGATGTTTTTTCGGATGATACTATGCTCTCCTGTTGCCGGTAGCCATTCTTCTAAGACAATGCAAAGTGCTCAGCCTTCGCTGTACATACGTGGTACGTTTTAAAGGGACAAAGTTTCGTTTTCTGCACATTCATGATCGCCAGACTTTTAAATTGCTTCGGCAGTACATTCTTTGAGGAATTGTTTTAGAAGTAGAAAAATAACCAGTTTTATGTTATTTATGGGAATAAACTTAATACACTAAAAAGTTTTAGTGTGCAATATGTTTTTAGTGTTACGTATCTTGGTCGGCCTTTGAGGCCTCACAGTGGCTCTTGTGAAAGCAATCTTGGTTAAGCTGGGTTAGGCATTAACCAAAACCTCCAGACATTTCGGTCAGAAAGCGAATGTAACAGTAATTTTGGGGGAATTTCGGTTAAAAATTATGGAGTTGGCATTTTGAGGTGGACTTGCCACAAGTCGACCTTTGCTTATTCATCTTCTTTGAGCGACAGAAGTCGCGAAAGGTTGTCCTTTCCAACACCAAAACCATCAGGCCAGGGAAGAATTATTGGAAAGGACTTGTAGAAAGTCTAATTTTGTGATAGTCCTTTCGTTTCGGTTGGTACGAAAAACCGGAAAATTCTGTACGATAGAGCCGTCTTTTTCGGTTGCTTTGTCAATATTGGAAAAACACAACCGTAAAGGCTGGGTTTTACTACAGAATAAGAATAAGCAACACTCGCAAACCCAGACGCAGTAGGATGTTGATAATTAAAGCAATTAATGCCTTTGGTAACAAAAGGCGCTACCTAACAGCACCTTGCTGCGTCTTCATGTTGCTTATGCTAACTACCCTTATACTGTCCTCCCAAATGCGGGCCCGAATGTTTCATCCGGTAAATGGTAGACACCGCAGGGTGGAAAGGTAACCTTACATCTCTCATAAACCGTTCATAAACCGGTAAACCTTTAATTAAGCAAGACATGCACACGCTTTTTATCCCTGGCCTCACGATGCGTCAGGGGG